TGGTGGCTCTCCTCCGGTGTGTTAAAACACGGCAAGCCACAGCAAAGGCTACCATGCCTCGAAGCGTCCATCATGGAGAAGGAATCACCAAGTATGGGTGAGGTCAGGGGTACTAAAAAAACTGTGCTTTCAACCTGGCTTCTGAGAGCAGTAGAAAAAGCTAGATAGTATCCAAGGAAGTGTGGCAGAGCCCTGTCTACAAAAGTTCAAAATGGAGCAATGGGCTTAGGATAAATGGTCTCCAAAGAGTAGCAGTCCATCATCAGGTAAGAGGTCCCAAGATGGTTCCCTGTGTCCTGCTCTGAATGGACCAAGCTCCAGGCCTCATCCGCTCATCCAAATGCCAAATGATTAGTCTACTTTTCCACTTGAACACAGTCTATAACATGAGACTGGTTGTTTTATATAAAACACTTGCAGGGTTTGAATGGTGTAAAAGACTGACGGAGTATTTAGGCTCTAGGGAAGGCAGCTGGGCGGGTCTCGGGCATGCGGTGAAGGATTAAATGCATGTCTCACCGCCCCATGGAAGAATAGGCATGTAGATAAGAGAATCACGAAAGAAGCCAGTTACACATGTGAGCTACAAGTATGTAAGTTGAGAAGCACAGCATCGTGAGCTTGTAGGGGACCGGGCTTCACCAGTGTCCACACTTGACATATTAAAGAATGAATCCATACAAGTATAAACGTAGTGTAGGGACGATGTTATGCACGCCCAAGAACATGGTGTCAGCTTTCCAACACGGATGTTTTAATGGAAATCTTTACTTTAAAACATTTGTACTCCTTTACGAAAGGGCAATTTTGAGACCAAAGTTATCTAATTAGTTGTTAATAAATCTCTCCCGATTTCTTTAATTCCCCTTTCAAGAAAAGGAGAAAAAAATATATTTGAGGCCATTGAGTGCACCAGTCAAATCCTGTTAATAATTAATTCTGGAAGACTATTCAAGTTTTTTTCCTCTACTAGAATTTTATTAAAATTAATTCTACCTTGATCTCTTGATCTCCAGGGACCTTGGTGTTCTCGTCAATGGAATAAAGGAAAGGTTGCTTGATGAGTTCCAAGAGCCCTTGAGGTTCTGACGCTCTAAATTTCTGTGATTCTGTGAATATTACTTGAGAAAAGGCAGCCATCTGAGGTTTGAGTACACAATGTGGTCTCTGAGCTGAGACAATGTCTTTGATTCCTTTGGCAAGACACACACCATCTTGTACATCTGTCCAACAATCAGTACATTCTGAATGTATGACTGTTGCCTTGGCACGAGAGAAATTCAGTCATTATCATGATCTTTCTAATGAGTTTGAATGATGATACTCTTTAGGCATGCCTGTGCCCTAATGTAATAGTAGGAAAATGGCAGACACAGTATGATACACATCATGCAATACACCCAAGCGTTTGGGATCCTGGGAAAAATATACACAATAAGAATCTATTTCTATAGGGATAACTGTAGACTGTGCTTGGGAACCCAGTTTCTCTACATATGAAACTGACAAAAATGATCATAAAATAAGTAGTGGGAGCTATATACAACAACCTGGTAAATTCCAAAGAATCTTTATTTTTGTAAGTTTCTGAGAACAAAAGAGGTACTAACCCTCCATAATTCCCTGATTCTTCATTTGTCACAGCATAACCCACCAAATTCTCTCACAAAAAGTCAACCATATCATATTACAAAGAAAAAAAATTCTGTTCATATCTTGATAGGTATCCTATTAAGAGGAAAAGAAGCGAATGTATTGAATATACACTAAATGCCAGACACCATGATAGGCTTAAACGTGTCAGAGGAGGCTTAAAATAGCCTAGCAAATAGATGTCATCAACAACATTTTATAGATGAGGAAAACCGTACCTCAGAGGGGTTCACTTACTTGTCCAAGATGACAAAGCTAGTAATTGGTAGAACTTGATTTGAAGCAAGATGACTCTGAAACATTTCCTTGTCACAGGGACGGAGTCACTGAAACAGTATGCAATCATTTATCACCATCTCTTTTATTACCAGCATCTTTATTACTACATAACAAGCGATGCCAATACTGTTTACTTATTCTTATAGATACCTGTGTTCCAGAGAATTGATTTTCAGTATGTGTTAAACACACATTGTGTGTATTTATTTCAGGATTAAATTTTAAATTTTCAGAAGAAAATTCCTTAAATGTTTTTAATACTAAGAATAAAAAATAAGTAAAATAAGTAGCTTTATGATCAAGGCGGTCTAGGTAAAAAAAAAAATACAATGAAATATGAGTTAAAAGATATGTATGGACAAGAGTTTGTCATTAAAATGCAGCTGCTGCACTAAACACAGGAGAGGATAAGAGTTGAATCCCAAAAAATTCCAGTGAAGCGGCTTTAGTGACAATAAAGCTAACCTCAGATTTAATCAGAACATTGCTGGCATTCTAGAAGTGAACAAACACATAATCCAGGTGACACAACTCAAAATGGAAGGTTGGTAGATACATCCCTAAGGTTCACACCTCTTTTTGAAGCTTTTAAACTTTGTGGAACTTTTTTTAAACTTTGTACCTTCACTTAAATAGTGATCTACAAATCATTCATAGTAGAGCATCTGGAGACCATCTGATAGCATTGCTCTGCCAGAGTTTTTAGTGCCTGCCTTTGTATTTGGGTTTACAGCTAAGATGACGCCAGGAGCACTGTGGTTATGGTCAGAGGCCAAAGAGAAAAGGATAGAGGAAAACTTAATAGACAAATGATTTGTTCTCACCCAGTGCAGACCATCTGACATGACAGTCAGAGTTAGAGAATATTGATAATGAAAACTGGCCATACACGACAAATCCAAAATGGCTGTGATATAACACCAGGACCAAATTCATTCTGCAATTTTGTCTTAGTCCAACAACCTCATTTATCGTATTCAGTTAATGACAATAACTCAAAGCATGCTGTTTTTATAAGGTTCTTCTATGTAACTTTAAATGTGTTTGGACTCTATAACATAGCCTAAGAACTATAAGGTGTGATGCTTATTGCAAGTTTTATGATTTTATATATTTAAAATAACATGATAAAATAACTTTCAAGTCAATGCTGACGTTTATTAAAGGTTTTCTCTTCTCTTTACATTGCAGTTATGGGAAATGGTGATATAATAAATAGCTTTCCCCCTCAAGTTATGCATGTCCTTTGAACTAGATTGCATGTTCATGCATATTGCTTCCTCAGAAAGCTCGTGTATATTGAATGAGCTAGATTCAATGATAAATCTTCATTTACTCAGTGGCGTTGGATAGATCTTTGTGCAAACCCTTATCCCACCTGCCTGCTTTCTTATCTGTGGACCTAGGCAAGTTGCTTATTTTTTCTGCACTTTGGCATCCACATATGTGAACAGGAAATAATATTTAGCAGGATTTTTTTGACAAATATTAACACTAGCTATTCCTCTTTGAACAAGGTACTAGATATCAACCGCTTTAAATACACACTCTCATTTAATCCTTAGCAAGTTATTATTATTCCTATTATTTCACAGATGAAAAACAGGCCAAGGCAAGTTTAGCTGAAAGGGATTGCACAGATCTGAATGCAGACTAGATTATTATAAATCCCAAACTCTTCCTCACGGTGCTCTTTTGCCTAAAATAAATCTAAAGTGCTTGGCACAAATCTAAACTTTAGTAAGCACTCAGTAAATATCGCTTCCTCTCTTAAGAAAATGATTGCTGCTTCTTTTGTCTTTCCATTTCATTTCATCTGAGCTAACAAAAACCTAAGATCACCCTCTAGTGATACATCACTCCAATTGCAGGCTTTTGATCCCTGAAGTTTGAGAGTAAAAAGGTATACATATGAAGGACTTATATGTTTTGGCATGGTATGGGAATGGTGTTTGTGTTAGAATTTATCATTCATGGCAACCATCATCCAGAGGATCGCTGAGTCGTTCGACTTTCTTTGCATTTTCTTCTTCTCAATAAGCAAATTATCCCTACTTCTCTGATTGTCGATTTGCCTTTGAGCTTCACTAACTAAAAAACTATTTTCCAAAGTATAGACAAAATAACATTTCCTTGGCGAAACCCAGGACCCTATTAGGACTAAAATGTCATCATGAATGCTCTGTGAGACCTGAGGCAGCCTTCTTGCCATGGCTTACTCCACACCTTTTTTGCTGAGCTCTTGGCTATAATACCAAGAATGACAAAACTTTTTAGTTATGTGAGGTGTATTAACTGATTCAATAAGCCTTTACACAAGTTTTTTCTTAGGCGATAGGGACAAAGTTGTATTACTGCTATAAGCTGAGCAAGATTTATAAGGCAAATTACCAAATAGAAAAAGTAACCCTTATGTATAGTAGACAGAAATGTCATCTACCCAGATACTCAGCAGTTCCTCAAATGATTTTCATGAGCATTGGAATGTCTTTTATCAACAAAAGCTACACTGGTCAGGAGAGAACTGTGTCTTTTCTTTTCCAGATTACAATTAAAAATGATATTCTCTCAGGTTAGCCATGAATAACTTTTTTTTACTGTAACATCTAATACTCCTTTGTAGATCAGAGCAACCAGGTCTTCTAACTTCACTAACTTGGCGAATCTTCTTTGTTTCTGCTGTACATTTTAGGGTTTATTTAGGTGGTTTAGCACAGGGTTTTTCTGACCCTAAGCTGAAACTGGCACCACATACTTTTGCCTTACACTTCACAGGGTGTGATGAACAGTCCAGAGCTCCCAGGCAACTTTTTTTTACAGCATTCCTTGGAATTCACTTGAGATTACATAAGACTGGTGGGGCTTCCTCGGGAAAGGCTTAATCAGAAAGTATCATCCATTTAGTAGAAATAAAAAGATCCTGTTGTGTCAGAATTTGTCTTTATACCATAGAATGAGTAGCAACCTGGAATCAATGCCAACTTACTGAATTTGGCACATGTCCTTGAGAAACTGTTGCTCAGAATGCTTTATACGTTACTTTCATTGCTTGGTGTTGTCTATTTCAGGTCCCACTCTCCCGAAGACTCATGTTAAAACAGCCTCTCTTGGCTTGGCTGGAAAAGCAAGATCCCCTTTGCTTCCCGTCTCTGTGCCAACAGCCCCTGAAGTATCCGAGGAGAGCCACAAACCAACAGAGGATACAGCCAACGTAAGGGGATCTTTGAAATTCATGCTTCATCTGGGAAAGGAGAGACTGGTGCTATGTAATCCAGTGTCAATGAATGAACACTCACCATTGACCCTAGGCCCTTGGTGTTCTTATTGTTGTTTATTTTGTTCTGTTTTCCTGCACTTCTATAAAATACAAAGGAAAAAACTTAACGAAAAAGTTATATCAGAGACTTCATACATAAAAAAGTTGATAATGTGTAAGGACAGTCTTAGAAAAACAAGCAGATAGCCACAGACAGATAGTTACCGGATGTGGATTTGACATTCATACGTATATACTATATACATATTTACATGTACATATGTGTATGTACTTATATTTATATATTTTGCCTTGCAGTGGGATGATGTACTTTAGCATTCCTGTAAATAAGACAATATAATTATAATTATTTTATTTATTTATTTATCTATTATTTTTTAAAGACAGGATTTTGCTATATTTTCCATGCTGGAGTATGATCATCACACACTACAGCCAGCCTCAAACTCCTAGGATTGAGCAATCCTCCGGTCTCAGCTTCCCAAGTAGCTGGGACTACAAACATGCACCATCATGCCTAGCTTATGTAATTTCTCTTTAAAATTAAAAGCCATGGTAACAAAAAGCTGTATTCCGAGGGATTCTTTGAAGTTATACATGCTTCTTCTGAAATCATAACATCACCCAGAAATATAGAGGATATTGAGAAGAAGAAAATACAAAATGATGAAGGCAGGAGTTTAAGAAGAAAAAAGAAATAGACATATTTAGAAATGAAGCGATCATTTAATTATTTAATAAAGAAAAGGTCAATTACTAAAGGAAGAAACTAAAAAGCGGTCCCATTGGAAAACTCAGAAGGAAGATCAACAAATAATGAAAAAAATAAAAAATTTAAAAGAAAAAGCACTTATCCCAAAAACGCAATGCAAAGAGATTGAAAAGACGTGGCCCAGAGGCAACTATTTATAGAATACTTTTGTTTGTGTCTCAATATAATTCAAAAGAAAATATGTAGAAGAAGGCTAAGGAACTAATAGACCAGATACTTTCAAATATCAGGGAACTAGAGGAGAAAAAAATGAAAAGAGCAAATTAAAATTCACTTGGCTTTTCTTCAACCATAAATTGTGAAATTAAAATATATCCGCTGCATTTCCAACTAGCTTCTGTTTTCTTCATGCACAAATAGAGTCTCTGCAAAATTTACAAATTATATATTAAGCAAATTCTAACTATATCAAAATATAAATAGATCACATAAAATCAGACCTCTGGGAGTAATATAGCTATCAGTTTTTTTAAACAAAACTATATATTCTTCTGAAATCTAATTGTTGTCAAAATAAAGGACCATTTCATTGGAATGAAGGATGAGATTATTTTTATTGACTTTATCTTTTTCCAGATTGCAAGCAATGAAATATTTTCACTATGTAGAAATCAAGGAGGCTGAATATATGTATGTGTGTGTGAATGTTTGGCAGAAGAGTGGTATATACTTACCATACTTAATGAATTCAAGCATTTAAGAATCTAATGCACTTTTGCCAGAATACAGTTGCTTACTTCGATATTTGTTTAGCCTCAGAGCTTGTGGCCACATCTCAAATCAGATCAAACTCACAACAAATTTGCATAAAGTATCTCATCTCGCCAGGAATCATGTAAGGTGGCTCATTTTTGCACTTATGTTTGACTCCAAAGTGTGACAGCCAGAGGAATAGCATTAGGAAGAGTAAGAAATACTCATGAAAGGAAGTACAAGAATGGGGCGAGTAATCTACATCGGCAATGTCCCATAAGCTCACGTTGTGAAATACATGTGATGTTAAATTTTCCAGAAGCCCCTGTGAAGCCCTGAAGATTGTGAGCACATGGCCAAACCATGTACTGACACAATGAGATTTCTGCAGGAAGCTCATGCATTCTGAGCTGTTTCTTCAGTGGCTGGAGTTGCTTCATGCCTATCTCCCATGCAAATTCTATCAATGCTCTTTTGAGACAAGGGTATTTATTTGGCAGAATCAGCTACACACCTCTGACCATGCTACCAAGCAATGGTTCTTGGCCTCTACAGAGCTAGAAATCATGGCTTAGACCCCATTGGTTCAATCACTTAATTAACTGAATGGGTTGGCCAAGAATAATTAAGTCGAGCGTGTGTACGCAAGTCAAAACAAATGGCATGTCAAGAAAGGAAAACAGAAAATTAACATTTATTGAACACTTACCACTGGGCAGCATTGACTTGTTGAATCCTCCCAATTACTCAATAAGGCAAGCTTGCCATTCCCATTTGTCAAGAAAGAGACTGACTAAAAAAAAAAAAGAAATTAAAAAAAATTGTTTAAGTGCAAATATATAAAAGACCTGGGATTCTAATCAACACTACAACCTCAGTGCTTTTATACTTTGTTTCCCCTTCTGGTTAGCAATAAAAATACCTAAAAAATTTTTAGAGTGTAGATTTCTAGATCCTTCAGAATCAGAATTCATACAGCTAGTGACCTGGTGTTTGTGATTACTAGTCATCCTATTACTTACTAACATGGTACTAGTGACTTACAGTGAGTGAGAGTTCCAGAGCATGTATTCATTAAGTTTTCTGCAGTTCAGCTTCTTTTATCCAGCATTCAAATCATGCCACCAGAGCCTCTTCATATCTGTGTGTGGAACTAACTCTGACTCGGGGCATGAATTTTGATTTCACACACAAATTATCACATCCCCAGACTGTGTATTGGTCAAGGCCAAGCCCACCAAATTCTCACATAAAATGATAGACCCATGTCATGTTACAAAGAAAAAAAATTGCCTCTTGATGGATAGCCTACTGAAAGCAGACGGTGCTAATGTATTGAATGCACACTAAGTCTCAGATCCCACGACAGTCACTAAATATTTCACAGGAATTTCAAAATAGTCTAGAAAATAGATGTCATCGTCATTATCATTTTATAGATGAAGAAAAAACCAGAGAGGTTCACTAACTTGTCCAAGACAACAAGAGTAATTTTGTTAGAACTTGATTTGAAATGAGATCTTTTCGACTCCGAAACATTTCCTTATCACAGGGATGGCGTCACTGAAACAGTATGCAATCATTTATGACCACCTTTTTTGTTACCAGCATCTTCATTCAGCGAATATGCTCTGAAGACAGCCTCGGCTGTAGGCCTCTGTGTCTGGCTTGAGAATACTCAGTGACCCAATTAGCCATGGCCCCCTGCCTTCCCAAAAGGGATGGATCGATATTTGGTACTCACTCTTTGTTCCCGTTCTTTCCACAGGTATACGAGCAGGACGATCTGAGTGAACAAATGGCAAGCCTAGAGGGGCTCATGAAGCAGCTTAATGCCATCACAGGCTCGGCCTTTTAACATGCCTTGCTAAATGGATGAGGTGAATTTGCTGGGAACGTCGCAGCATACCGGTTACCCATAGACAGCCCACCTGTGTCCAAGAACAATAACCAGTGTACAGGTCAACCACCAGACCCGCTCATTAAGGAAGATCCTGAGGCAGTTCAGAAGGAGTACGCATCCTTTCTCTCATAAGCATCAAGAATGGTACAACGATGATTATGAGATCCCTCAACAAAAGCAAAGATGCATCTTCACTGCAACGCCAAAGCTGACGCTGCTAGAATAGTCTGGAGTCTTCGTCACTGCAGTGACCACACTGTCCGAACTAATGCCTGTGTTTTCCTTTGTCAAGGCCTGTTGTTTGATGTGTAGGTCTAGTCTTACAAAATGCAAGTGCATTATCTCAGCCTGTACCATGCCATGGCAAACCAGTGCAAGCTCACTATTTTGTTTTCCACTTTAAAGCACCCATGAGAATTCTCCACTACACAGCACCAAAGGATTGGCTATTTTTCTTACAGCACAAAAAGCAAATAAGTAAATAAACGAAAGGCAGAAAATGCTTACGTTTGGAGCGCAGCCATTCATCTTGCACAATTGGTGGATATTAGCGAGTGGTTATAAAATTCACCTGTGTTGGCAAGTATTTGTAAATCCACCCTTGGTTAGCATGTATGTCGGGAGTACAGGAACGTAAAAATATGCAACTAGTGGCGCCCTGCCAGCAGTATATTTCTGGAAAGAGGATACAATATGCAGTCTTCTCAGATACAAGATAATTATGTGCTTAGGCTTGTAATAGGACGCTTTTCAACTTGGGTGGCTTTGGTGCCATGCTACACTGTGATGCCATTTCAAAGCTTCACCAAGGCCATCTTCCTCAGGAGTCTAGCCAGGAGCGTTCCCCACCCCTCCGTCCCATCCCTTCCTGATTTCTCTTTGGAAACCAGCCATGGGTGAAGCGGCCAGCTCCATGCATCCTATAGCTTCCTGACAATGTCCCCTGGACCCCACATGGAAAAGGCAGACTCTCTGAGAGCAGGCTCTGAGAAAGGGAAGGAAAATTAAAGGCAGTTTCCACCAGTACCTTCTCTTGGATGACATCAATTCTGCCGATAGCGTCAGCACTGGCACTGCTGCCAGGCCCTGCTGCCAAGGGAACCATCTACACCATCCCTGTGCCCAAGTTAGGGAGAGGTAGAGGGGCAGGTGTCGCTTGATGCTTCTGATACATTGTCAGTACCAGCGGATACTTTCCAAGGCAGCATCTTAAACTGTGAGCTAGAATGTTAAACGTCTATTGCCATGCTTATCTACAGCTTGGAGCTAGCAGAAAGTAAGAACATTTTGTGTGCAACCTTTCAGTTTCTGAATTTCAGCTGTGTTTGGAGTTAATCCCTGTTTATGCAGCTGAATCGCCAAAAGGGAGCTAGTTTGCATATTTATCAGTTAGGCGACTTGGAAACCCAATGAGAGAGTTTCAGCTGAATTATTCCTTTCAGCTCTGCCTTTGATTTCAAGCTTGAGTAGGTCATAATTTTAAAAGAGCATGGAAGGGATAGGATCTTTACAACCTAATAGCTCCTTTTATTAGGTGAGTAATTATATATGAATCCCTGAATGAAATATTTTGAGCAAAATGGCACTGTAACAGAAGTAATAATTCAGATTATTTTTTTACAGTTTTATGTCGGGAAGGAAATCTGATGTCAAAGAGAGGGCTGTTCAAATGGTTCATTAGAAAGTCTGGTCCGTTTGTGAAATTGTTCCTTCAACAAGAGTGTTCAACCTACTAAGATTTTCTGGAAGTTCTTCCAAAGAACTATGTAACGTTATTCTATGAGATGTGTTACTGTGGGCACTTAGACAGGCAATCCTCCACTGACCTGGAATAAGGCGTTTCCTAACATGATATTGAATTCTTCAGAAAGGTTACTTCAAAAAAGAAAATGTTCATGAGGCTAGCCTAACTTTCTCTAGATCTTAGAATGGCTTCCCCTTTCTAATACTAGCAAACAAGGAACATTCTCTGGAAGCATACGGCATTCTGTGTGCTCAGTTTGGAAGAGACTGCCAATCTCAGATTGGACGAATTGAGTCACACAACTTCAATCTGTAGCGTGTAGGTGGCCAACCAATAAAACTAGCATTTTCACAAAATCCTGGATCCCTCTAGTCAAAGTGAATGACTTTGGGAACTAAAACGTGCAAAAATCCCTTCAAAGTATATGTTGTTTTCAGTGGGAGCTATAGTTCTGCTGCACATTCTTAAAACTTTCTTTATTAATCAAATGCAATGACTTATTTTCATAATTGGCGATGCTGATATATCTTAGCATCATGCATTGAATATGTAGTAGAGTCCATTTAAACATCCTCAAAAGACTCTAGTGTCTTTTACCTGGTAGTTTAAATATACAATTACTTTTCCACAACTTCCCGATGGCTCTGCTCCCCATGCCCTCAAATGGTTTACATATTATATACACAATTGCCTGTCCAAGTTTTCAGGTAACTTTTAAATTTCTTAGTCTCCTGATGTCTTGACAAGAAGACACCTGTGAATACTGTGAGATAGCTTCTGTTTTATGGCTACTGAACCTGGCTCACAGCATGCCGGGCTCTTTAAGCTCATAAATCTCTCTGACTCCCATAGGCTGATGCTTGACAGTCAACCACCAGCTCTGCCACCAGAACTCATTTCTCCCTGAAAAAGAAGAAAATCAAACTTGGCAGTCTACTGCAACAAGCTGTACTGTCAAGCAAGAGCCTCTTTGTAAAAAATAAAAATAAAAAATTGGCATTTTTCTTCCTATTTCACACTGATAAGAAAGTTATTTTCTTTCCTCTAGAAATTTCTGTATTTGTGAAACACAAAAATGCAGATCACTCAAAAGCTGTAAATAATATTTGGGAGATGCTGCAGCCAAAAGCTTAATATTTCTTAGTGATTCACACCCAATAAGAAATCAGTCATTCATGCCTCTTTATATAACAGAGCTATCAATTTCTAAAATATTTAAATACTACAACTTTACAATTAGGTTTTACAAAATGCACACCCAATTGAACGACTTGAAAAAAAATACCAAGCCGAAGCCAGTGATAGATGAGACAGATTTATTAAGGTTTCTGTTGAATATAACATCAGTTTCTTCAAAATATTATTTTACGTGGGGCAAATGTTCAGTCCTGTCTGGGCACTACCTATGAAAAGAGAGCCCCCAGCATTAGTGGTGTTAGTGATGTTCCAGACAACATTCTAAAACTGATAATCATGGCGCTCATGGGCTTTTCCAGTAAAGAATCTCTTAAGCACAGGTCTTTCTGGAAGCCATCAGTGTCTGTGCTTGAAGTGACTGCTGATACGTATCCACCTTTCAGGTACTTCCGTTGACTTTGTTTAAACAAGCCTCTTAGGGTTGTCTCCAAATTTAGTAGAGTATCTCAGATATGGCAGTTGGGCTGTAATTCCAACAAAAGGTTACCTCTAATGATATCACCTTACCCTTTTAGATAAAACAGTATCCTAGCCCCAGACTTTCATGGCTTTGGAATGTTCATGTCTAGTCAATGAAAGAAAATAAAATAGAAAACTACCAAGTTGTACATGTTGAAAGACAACAAAATCATCTGAGCTTTAAAATAGAAGAGGAGCAGGGTTGTTTTCCCGTGTTGCCCAGCTCATGTGTTCATGCAGCTGCTGGTCGCCCTGCAGGTCAGCATCCTGGCCTGTGCATAGACAATATGCAGTGCAGAGCCCTGCTTGTTGGAGCTTGCAGAGGCAGCCGTACACTAAATTCGACACTCTTTCTCCATTTAAATTGCATTCAAAAACATTTTACTGATAATTTGTATTTCTCTGGTGACTTTCGGAAACCACTTTGGTATTACACAGAAGAGATTTTCAGTCGAGTCTAGTGTCTTAAATTAAATTGGATACTTTGGAAAAATTACAGATAGGTATTTTGTAGGATATTCCATTCCAGTGAAAACAATATGCATCCAAGCCTCCATGCATCTTGCTAGCCAGATACCTGCTTCAAAAAATATTGATTCTGAAAAGGAATGCCTGAGCACTTCCTGGTCAGTGAGGTTATAGGGGAAACAAAATGCCACACCCATATCAACAAATGAATATTATTTCTGATAGGGGCTCTGTTGCCATCATGGGATAACGGTCACTTGGCGGACTTCCAGGTGCACTCTCTGAAGGACTTTTCTCTCCTGCTCTCAGTAGAGAGCCTTTGTACATTGCCATCCTATGGTTTTCCTTTGGTAGGAGAGCAGCAGCAAAACTCTACGCGATGCCACAAACACGGAGGCATGGGCCAAGGGATCTCACTGCGTGCTGAACGTGTGTTTTCAGATGCAAGAAAGGAATGTTGGCGAGGAGGAGAAACGCTGTTTTTTATTATTGTAGGGTAAACCTGACAATTCTGAACTTTGTGAATTGTCAGTTTGTTTGGGGGGGAAGGGTGGGTGGGAATGGGGTGTACTTTTTATAAGTAATATTTAATTTATTATTTAGAGTGGCTTCTTTTTGGATAATTTATGATAAAAAGGGAGATCTGGTCGGGATCTAGGTACGGCTGTTAAAGCTGCAGTGTTCCATATCTCAGAGGGACCGCTTTTGGAAATGAATTGTCCGTTGCTGAGTATGACGAGATGTCCAGTCCAGGCAAAGCCTTCACTGAAGTTCCATCATCACCGCCTTCTCCCTTTCTAGGGTCATTCAGAGAAAATAACACCAAACCTAAGATAATTCTGGAAGCATTTTTCAGATCAATGCTACTCATTTTCTCAAAGGGCTTTGCAACTCAAATTGTTAGTGTGCTAGTGATAAGTTTATTTGGTAGAAATGGGTATACTACAGCTTTAACTAGCCTTAGTGGAGAAAGAAATTTTTTGTTGTTGCAAAATACCTTTTAAAAAAGGGATTTTGAGCCTACAAAGAGTTTCTTTAAATTGTCAGACTCTAGCATTGTTAACCAAATTAGACTAGTGATTGCAATATTTAAGTGTAAATCTTGTTCTATGAGAAAGGAAACTTGCTTACAGTTTAAAACAATGACTGTTTCTACACACGATCTTGTATACT